AATTCTATAATAAGAATTGAGCCAATCACAATTCATAGTAGTTCAAATAGATTTCACTTTTTAGTTAAAGGGATTCATGCTTGATGTCTTTCAATAGGAATCTGAGGGAAAGTCTAACAAGAGTAAATGTCATAGGAGTGTCCAGAACTCTAGTAGAGATATTGATGTGCACCACCAGTGACAAAATTTGGCCCTAATGACAGAACTCCAAATCCCCAATGAGGACCCACACATGTAGCATCTTTCAAGTCAGCAAGTAGTACTTATATTTTGGAAGAATTCTTAGTCAAGCAGAAGCTATGCACATGCCTATTTTTGTTTTAATGAAATATTATGTGCTGCCCTTTTTGAGAAAAGAGAAGCAGTTAGCAAGCCACATTAGGCCCTTCACTCACAACTTCTAACATGATTACTACCACCAATTCATATCTTAGAAGAAGTCAACTGCTAGCTTTGGGTGTGCATATTGGAGAAGGGGCAAAGGAGATGTACTATCTGCTATCTCTTTGCTTCTTTTCTAGCCTGCAAACTTCTCTTCCCCTTCTCTACTTGTCCCAGATAAGAAGTCACTATGCTTTAGTCACTCACAAGTCTGTCTAGCAAATCCCAGACTCTGATTCAGATCGTGGATGTTGATGAGCACATTGGCCAGCATCAAGCACTACATATACCATTTGCACTATTACCCACAACCTGCACACCACAGTTCTCATCTGCTGGTCTCAGCACACCTGCCCAGGTTGTTGTGCTCATCCCAAGCTCACCGAAGTACAGAGAAACATAAAGGGAAGGACATGGGGTCAGAAGACCAGTCCACTTTCCCAGGGCTGTACCTGTCACATCACTTCCAAAAATGCTATTGCTATGGAATCTCTCTCCAAACTGGAGGCCAGTGCATTAGACTTCTTCAGTCTGTAGGTCCCTATGTATCCCTTGGCCTCAATAGGCACTTCAGGTGCAGACTTGTCCCACACATACTGAGGTACTTACCAGGCAGGCCAGGCTGTCTCAAATTGCTGCCTTCCACATGGTTCTGATGTGTAAATCTGCAGCCAGAACCACAAGGCCACAATCCACAACACACATTTGTCTTCTGTGCCTGGCCTACTATGTTAGCAAATGTGTAGTTAGGCCAGCCTCTGAGGTATCTGCTGTATCCTTTGACCAATGGGTTCTAATTGGGTGGGACTTTTTCTCCCTAAATGCTTTCTATGGTGTCAAGATGGTACCTGCCCACTTCTAGTCTTAGAGAATTTGTCATTTTCTGGGAGCATGTACTCAAGAGGTTGGCAGATGGGCACTTCTGAGCTATGAAAGATTTTTTTTTTTTTTTGCTTTTTAAGGAGGACTCTAAGGTTGAGTGTAACCAAAGTCCCCTGCTTCAGTTTTCTTAATTTGCAGTACATTCATAAGGTGAATATTGATTCATAAGATGAGTCTTCTGTTTAAATATCTCAAGATTCTGTCAATTCAACAAGTCATTGTCATCCATCTTCTGATGTGAGCCTGTGGGAAATCTGCTAGCAGGAGCAGTTTACACTAAGAAGAAAACACTAGAAAAAAACCTACCAATGAAAGAAGAAATCTCAGAGTAAAAACATTCTGGTCTTAAAAGTGGGGAGCTCCCACAGGCCCTACAGTCAGCCAAAGAAAGAGATGAGTTTCTGTTGCTTGGTTATGCCTCTTTACAAAGAGAGAGGCCCCAGGATAGAAGCTGGGAGAGCTCAGCCTTGTCCAGGTTAATGATGGTTTTGACAGCCTCTCAGTCAGTCAGGATCCATGTTCTGGCTCCAGCTTCAGTTGCCAAATCTCTGCCTATCATCTTTCTATTTTCATTTTAGACAATGGTGTCATTTCTGGGCTCTGCTACCTCTGAGATCTGGTCTTAACCCAATGATTCCTTCCTTACATGAGCAGGGTATCCACAAATTATGTGGATGATTCTATTGTGCAACTTGTTTTTTTCACATGGTTTTGTAATTATTTATGTCCCCCAGGACTGTAAATGCCATTAGGGCAAGCATTATATTCACTTCATTCATGTTGTATCAGTTATACCCAAGAGAGTACCAGGCATAATGCAGACAAGTCACCCTCCCTCCTCTACTCCTTACTCCCACAGTGTAAGGGGCTCTTGCTCTTCTCCTCCACTCCTCCCTCAGCACAACTACCACAACCATGAGACCCCCACACACTATACCCTGGCACCCTCTCTGGCCCCATGTGCTCTCCAGTTCATGTGTCTCTAAGCAGAATGATGTGGCAAGTTAATGGGGCTTCCTTGTGCCCATGAAGCCTAGTTACTGTGCTTCATTTTCACTAAGTGAGTTGTGGATATTGTCCTTGAATGCTCTGATTGTGCTCAGTTCTTATTGACTCATAATAACTGAGAGGTGACAGTCTTCCAGAAATCAAGAAGACGCTTGCTTGCATATTACACTCAGGGGCCACAGAGTTCTGTAGAACTGGTGTTGGAGCCCTTTCCACTTATTCAATGTTCACACCTACTGCATTTTTCCCTTTGTGCTCATCCATTCCCCACCCCCCAGAATAGCCAAGACAGAATGAGATTATTTAAGAGCCATGATGATGAGCCAGTGGCAAGACAACTCACTTTATAATGCATATTTTGGCTATTCCACAATTTTTTTTTACTTATTTCCTTCTTTGTTGTGCTTTGATATTGGAGGTTGGTGGATACATGAACTGTGAATTAGTGAGGCATTCCAAATATAGCTATGAATTATATAATTTTGTGGATTATTCAATTAAAATTGTTCTAGCTGCTGATTATGTCTTCCAGTTTCTAAATAACTGCATCATAATGAGGACCACTGTATGTGGTAGCAGTTAAAAATATTTGTCTTGCTGATTAATATAAGGCTTATAGATAGCAGCCACATATGAGACTGTGTCCTGGATTTATGGGAACTTTATAAGTTGATTGGAGATAGCCTTTTATTACTGATGAACATTAATATATTGAGAACACCTTGTCTTTTAACTAATACAATCCAAATAAAGATTTATACATGATTTTTATTCTGCCTTCATCTACTAAATTAAAGTATTGAACACCTGTTGACTCTACCTTTTAGATCTCACTGTAATGTGTTGCATCTTCTTCATTCCCAACTGCCACAGTACCTTGGTTTGAGTCCTATTAAATTATATTTAATAGACTTTTTAAGTGACTTGCCTACCTTTTGTCTTCCTTACCTTTGTGTCAAAAGCCTTTTGTGCTTCTGCCCATCCTCCTGCCTACATCTCACTGCTCGGTATCTCTTACTCCAATTTCTAGGAAAATCAAGTGGCTAGCAGTTTTTTAACATGCCATGCAAAATAATGCTCAATAAATGCTTATTAAATAAATGAATGGGATGCCTTACATCTTTAAGCTAAAACTTTATCATGCTTGCCCCTGGATGGTTCCTGTTCATACACTTCATCCACATGTAGTTATTAATATGCTCCTTTTATGATCAGACTTGTCTCAGAACAGCAATTTATATATTCACCTAATTGTGGCAGCCATCAAATAGATTTCTATTTCCTTGTCTACTCTACTACGCAGTTCTTGGGGGTCAGGAATCTTGTTTATTTTTTTGTGCCCTCACTTATTAATTGAATTAAGATACTGAATCTGTCAAGATGCCAAGTTTTAATGTCAAAGCAAACATGTTTCTTGCCCTCATGAAGTTTTCAATCTGGCAAGAAAGAACAATCTACCCAAAGAATATTTCATGACCATAAATAAATATTGCTTGACACACTAAATATTAGTGTGAAATCAATGAATAATGATTTAAACATTCCTAATCCAGCAACAACTCTAATCCCATGAACTAAAATTGACTGAAGTAATAATAATAGAACTCTGTCACTCAGTTATCCATTTGCATTCCTACTTAAAAAATAAAAAAATCAACATACATATACCTAAGAATGTATACTATTCATATGCTATCTTATTCAGCTTAAGAAAACATGACTATGGGATAATAGTAATTTTGAATTTCCTTCCTCTTTTAGACAAAGTATAATCCTATGTGGTTCTCTACAGCATAAATTATTGTTGTAGGTACTCTTCCTCTTTTGAACATTTTGTCCCAGATGAGAAATCTTGGGTTTTAGAAACTGAGCACAAAGATAAAGATTTTTTAAATCAGCATTAAATTTTTGTTGTCCATTAACTTAGACTTTTTAATAATATTACCGTGGGCAAATTCTGAACTCTTTCCATCACATTTTCCACTTTGTAAATTCTTGATGATACTATCTCCAGAAATAATCTAAGGTGTCTATGATTTGATGTAAGGCATTTAGTCCCTTAACCTTTCTTCTAGAAGATACTCAGCAATATTAGACCTGTTTCAAATTCCCCTGTTTGTTTCTGTACTTTGTGAATTAAAAGATAGTGTAAAAGTGACTTGAAAATAAATATAAACGTCAATTAAACTCAAATAAAACTGTATTCTCAAAACTGGATGTTAAATTTTGCCATCCACACCTCTGCTAAAAGTTATATTGCATTCATAGTCATTTATTATTTGAGAGAAGTTTCCAGGACCAATGCAACAAGTAAGATTTTTTTTTTTCTAAAAGAAGACAGAGATTATGAAGGAGCCAGGATTTGGAGTGAGTCAGCAGCATTAGGAGTCACTCTTAAGATTAGATTCAGGAAAGGAGGAATACCAACGGATCCTTGATGTTTGGAGTTGGGAAGGAAGGGAAGGAGGATGTAAACAAAAGTAAATGCCCTCTGGATTCTAGTATGTCTCCACCCACCCCAGACTGAAGCCCTTGAGGAGGGCCAGCTGGTCTCCCTAGACATACTCCCACCTGAACTCCATTTCCCAGAGTCGCTAGGTCCCCTGACGTAATCCTTGATTGGAATCCCTGGGCGTGTGACAGTAGGAGAACCTGCGCATGCGCCCGCCTGCTCCAGTGGCTCGGAGTTGAGAAGAGGAAGTTCATTCACTGATTAGAGTCAGCGCTGTGAGGGCGCGCTGCTCCTCCCGCATTCACTGGGTCTCTTGCTCTGCACGTGGTATCCCAATCAGTTTGGGAACACACAGGCCGAGCCTTTCCCCTGCTGCTTCTGTGCCTCTTCATCTGCCGCCTGTGAGTCCAACGTGCAAGGGACTTTTTCTGCCCCACGCTCTCTGCTTTACTTTCCGTGTGTCCTGAAGAAAGGTGGCGTGCTCCCGGGACTTTCCGCGGCAGGTATGGAGAACAGGAAGGGGTGAGATGCGTGTGTGGGAGGGGGTGCGTGCGAGTGTGGCTGGTAGCTTCTCTGTAATCCTGGCAGCTTTCTGCATGAAGGTCAGGGTTGGGACCGGGCTTTCTGGTCTTCCCACTGCCACTTCCCTAACCTCCCAGTGCCCTCCCAGTCTGCATGCGACCTCTCTCAAACTTTCCTTAATGCGCTTTATTTAGTGGTTACAAGAGATAGCACAACGGTCAGGGAAACGGCACAAGCATGGCACGCTAGAGGACAGAGGGGTAAAGTAGAGAGACTCGGTTCTCTGTTTAAGTAAGTCTGCTTGCCACTTTGGGTGGGTCACAGAATGGCGTCTGGCGGGCTTCCCGCCATATCCTGCGGTGGTTCCAGTGGGGCGGGGCTCAGGGGCCTTCAGCAGAGTGCCTGAGGCAGCTGGGGGTAGGGAAAAAGGATCTGATCAGGAACTGCTCCAAAGCCCCCATCCTGCTTCAGCCTGATGGGGTCCCCGCGGACACACCTGGCCTCTGTGGCCCTGTGTGTTCGGCTTTTTCCCAGAGGGAACATCGTGAAAGGCATGCAGTAGCTTTGTGGATTGGTCACTCTCCCGTGTTTAGTTAACAGACTTTTCAATCTGGAGTTTGAGGGCATAGACTCTTAGCTGATGATTTCTTTGGCTGCTTTTCGGTTTCTATCTTAAGCTCTTCTTTCTTCTATCAACAAGGATGTCAACAGTTATTATCTGCCATTGATCCTTTGAAAAGTGAGGAGTGAACTGAAGTTAATGCAAGTCTACGGTGTGGGTCAATAACTGGAGCTATTTCAATCTGGATTTGCATGAAGTGGAGCACTATAAAAACGTACATACAGGTCGGCGCCGCGGCTCACTAGGTTAATCCTCCGCCTAGCGGCGCCGGCACACCGGGTTCTAGTCCCGGTCGGGGCGCCGGATTCTGTCCCGGTTGCCCCTCTTCCAGGCCAGCTCTCTGCTGTGGCCAGGGAGTGCAGTGGAGGATGGCCCAGGTGCTTGGGCCCTGCACCCCATGGGAGACCAGGAAAAGCACCTGGCTCCTGGCTCCTGCCATCGGATCAGCGCGGTGCGCCAGCCGCAGCGCGCCGGCCACGGCGGCCATTGGAGGGTGAACCAACGGCAAAAGGAAGACCTTTCTCTCTGTCTCTCTCTCTCACTGTCCACTCTGCCTGTCAAAAAAAAAAAAAGTACATACAGAGGCTGGTGCCACGGCTCAATAGGCTAATCCTCCGCCTATGGCGCTGGCACACCAGGTTCTAGTCCCAGTCGGGGTGCCGGATTCTGTCCCTGTTGCCCCTCTTCCAGGCCAGCTCTCTGCTGTGGCCCGGGAGTGCAGTGGAGGATGGCCCAAGTCCTTGGGCCCTGCACCCGAAGGGAGACGGGGAGAAGCACCTGGCTTCTGCCTTCAGATCAGCGTGGTGGGCCAGCCAGCTGCAGCCGCCACTGTGGGGGTAAACCCACTGTGGGGGTAAACCAATGGAAAAAAGGAAGACCTTTCTCCCTATCTCTCTCTCTCTCTCACTGTCCACTCTACCTATCAAAAAAAAAAAGTACATACAGAAAAGTAACTTTTTTTGGCCTAGTTCTTTACAGTCACCCATTGATCCATCAAACTTATTATCTTACATTCCATGCTGTTTTAATTATGAAGAGCAGTTAAGCACATGGTGTTTTGATGTTTTTGACATGGGAAGATATTCTATATTTTTATAAGGACTGTGACCTGTGGAAGCATCTATACAAGTTGTTAATGTGAGGAGGGCTAAGAAAGAAGAGTAGGGGCCGGCGCTGTGGCTCACTAGGTTAACCCTCCACCTGCAGTGCTGGCATCCCATATGGTTGCTGGGTTCCAGTCCCGGTTGCTCCTCTTCCAGTTCACTCTCTACTGTGGCCTGGGAGGGCAGTGGAGGATGGCCCAAGTGCTTGGGCCCCTGCACCTGCATGGGAGACCAGGAAGAAGCACCTGGCTCCTGGCTCTGGATTGGCATAGCTCTGACCATAGCGGCCATTTGGGGGGTGAACCAATGGAAGGAAGACCTTTCTCTCTGTCTCTCTCTCACTGTCTAACTCTGTCAAATAAAAAAAAAAAGAAGAAAGAGGAGTAAAGAAAAAATTGCACCTCTCCCCCTACAGATGCCCACATAGTGGAGCAGATGATATGACCTTGAAAATTGTTGCTGATTGACTTTCATTTTAATGATTTTCACATGAATAACTGTGCTTCAGTTATTCATGTGTTCTGATAGAATGAGGTTGTCATGATTATTAATTTATTAAACTTATTTAGCATGATGAGGACATCTAGAAAGTAAAAAAGTGAATCCTGGATAGAGGGTGTTAGGGTCACAGCATTTTTTCCCCTTAATCCCAGTGTGTTCTTCTCCAGTGTACTTCCTATCACAGTGCTTGTGAATGGAAAAACAGTTATGTGTTTCTGCTGGGAAGAACTCCTTCACGCCATGGAAAAACAACTGTAGGACCACTTTCTGAGCAACTATGATATGTGCCTGTTAATATGACTTGGAAATAGCTGAGAACAGGAATCCTAGACTCATAAGACTAACCGGCTGTCCTTGGCACATTATTGCCTGCACTGCTACAAGTTTCTGGCAAGTTATTTACAGTTTGTAAGAAAGAAATATTTCATGTGACATACATAATCTGGTAATATAGCCGTGATGTCTTTCAAGAAATATGCCATTTGAGAAAGCAAGTCTCATAGTGTTCATTTATCTTATCATTAATGACAGTCATTGATATCTACCACAGGTTGAAAGAAGGGAATCTGCTCTCTAAATTTTTTTTAAGATTAATTTATTTACTTGAATGGCAGAGTTACAGAGAAAGAGGGTTAGACAGAGAGAAATCTTCCATCCATTCTTTTACTTTCCAAATGGCTGCAATGGCTGGGGTTGGGCCAGGTTGAAGCCAGGAGCTAAGAACTTCTTCTAAATCTCCCACTTGGGTGCAGGGACCCAAGCACTTGGACCATCCTCTGCTTCTTTCCCAGGTGTGTTAGCAGGGAGCTGGATTGGAAATGGAGCAAGCAAGTTTTGAACCATTCCCATATTGGATGCAGGCACCTGCTTAGCCTACTAAGCTCACACCAGGTGGGGGGATAAAGTTTTTTCTGATATGAGTCAATATGAAGACTACTACTTTTAGTAGATAATGACTTTTGGTTATAATTTGAGTTTCATTACATTTTCTTTAATGTATATTTTTGAGGTTACTGAGTCCCAGTATTCATCTGATGTTATCCTTGCTCTGATAAACATTCTCTTATTTCTCATTTAAAACCCTTTTTAAAAAAGACTTATTTTGTGTATTTGAAAGGCAGAGTGACAGAGAGAGAAAGAGATCAAGATCTATTTTATTCTCTCAACCTCCACATGGTGGCAGTGGCCAGGACAGGGCCAGACTGAAACCAGAAGTCTGGATCTGTGGGACTCTCATGTGAGTGACAGGGGCCTAAGTGCTGGGCCATCTTCTAATCCTTTCCCTGTCATATTAATAGGGAACCAGACTGGAAGTGAAGCAGCGGGAACTTGAACTGGTATTCATTGCTAGTGGTAGCTTAACACATGCCACAATGCTAGCCCATCAATAGATATTTTGAAGTAGAATCAATGGCTATAAAAATGTACAATCTAGATTTAGAGGAAAATGAAAAAAGTTTCCTCTAACTTCAGTTGGTTCCAGAGGACTTAGAAGTTTATTAATATTGTTAATATTATTTAACTTTATTAATATTTTTAATTAACTTTATTAATTATTTGTTAATTTCTTATTTATTTAACTTATTTATATTATATTATTTATTAGTTCACATCCAGCAGACTGCATGTGATTCTATTTTTACAACTCTCAAAACTTGTCCACATTAGTCTAGTTTTAGAGGACAAGGGTGTTATCAGTTACCATAAGGCATTTTAAGTAGCTATGCTTTCTTTCTGACTGTTAGGCTACAACTCTGACTTCCCTTGGGGCCTAAGAGGTTTTTGTGTGCATATCCTGGATCTCACTTTGTTTATTTTTTTTTCAGTTTTTTATTTATTTTTTTTTAACCTTTATTTAATGAATATAAATTTCCAAAGTACGGCTTATGGATTACAATGGCTTCCCCCCCATAACGTCCCTCCCACCCACAAACCTCCCCTCTCCCACTCCCTCTCCCCTTCCATTCACATCAAGATTCATTTTCGATTCTCTTTCTATACAGAAGATCAGTTTAGCCAGTTTAGCATACATGAGTAAAGATTTCAACAATTTGCTCCCACACAGAAACATAAGGTGAAAAATAATAGATGATTTTTTAAATGATGATGAAATCAGATCAGACCTATTGTCATGTTTAATCCCAGTGAGAGTCAAGTTGGGAATTGATAATTTCTTCTTCTTTTTTTTTTTTTTTTTAACAGAAGATCAGTTTAGGATACATTAAGTAAAGTTTTCAACAGTTTGCACGCCCATAGAAACACAAAGTGAAATATACTATTTGAGTACTCGTTATAGCATTAAGTCTCAATGTACAGCACATTAAGGACAGAGATCCCACATGAGGAGTAAGTGCACAGTGACTCCTGTTGTTGACTTTACCAATTGACACTCCTGTCTATGGCATCAGTAATCTCCCTATGTTCCAGTCATGAGTTTCCAAGGCTATGGAAGCCCCTTGAGTTCTCTGACTCTTATCTTGTTTAGAGATGGTCATAGTTGAAGTGGAGGTTCTCTCCTCCCTTCAGAGAAAGGTACCTCCTTCTTTGAAGACCTGTTCTTTCCACTGGGATCTCACTCACAGAGATCTTTCATTTAGGTTTTTTTTTTTTTTTTTTTTTTTTTTTTTTTTTGCAAGAGTGTCTTGGCTTTCCATGCCTGAAATGCTCTCATGGGCTTTTCAGCCAGATCCGAATGCCTTTAGGGCTGATTCTGAGGCCAGAGTGCTGTTTAGGACATCTGCCATTCTATGAGTCT